TGGATACACGAGGGGTAATAAACACAATAGTCTCAAAGAAATAAACGCCTAGATATTATAACTTTTAAGGCAGGAGACTCCGATAAGATCCTCTGTAATGATGTTCAGAATTCCTGTAAGAGGTTATTGTACGTAACGTATATAAAATTACGATTTAATTTGTATATTTTGAACAAAACATTATAACTCAACGTAATAAACTAATTACAAAGGTAAAAATTATTTCTAAAAGCAACTTCTGATCTCTTTCTATAATTTTAGCCAAGTTTTTCTTTCAATTTTCTTCAAGATTTCATGTGTTTTAAGATGAATCTTTTGATTTGTTGTTAGATTGCCATATTATGTTTGTTCAAAGTACATGTATCAAACTAGTTAATACTTAGAAATTAAACCTAGAATTACATCAAATACTTGGGCCTTGCACATTATTGGGAGATCCACAGAATTTGGAGCCTGCTCCAACTCTTATATTCAATGTTCTTGAAAATGAGAAATTATTTCTATAGGCAAGCAGAAGTAATATTTCAGTTCTAATAACATTTACCAATCAATATCTCATTACACAATTTTTTAGAACTATTTTATAGTGATCTTCCACTGTTGAATTTCAAAAATTTTAAGAGAAATTACAATTTTCCTCTTGTAGTTAATTTAACAGTAGTTTCTTACAGTTTACTACTGCATGGTTTGATTCTATATCATTGTACTTGAAATCACAAAGTACCATGAAACTTGTGGCTATTATTTGCTGAGTAAAAGAATAAAAGGAGGAAACTCCATGAAAAAAGAGCAGAGACTGAAAACTATCAAGCAGAATCCTAAACTTGCTTTAACTTTAAAATGGCATCATATCTAATAGTCAGGAAAGTTAAAATGAATCATGTCTTTGAAAGAAGCTGCATTTATTACTTACATGTGATACATACAAAATCACTCTATGTTACTTTGACAGAATGATTGATACTGTTTCTTCCTCCATAAGAAATTGTAAATTCAAGTAGAACTGTGCTTTTGATGGGTGTGTATCTATTACTTAATTAATACAATGCTTCTACAAGTATATCATTATGGAATTAAAAACATAAGTATAGTTGGTTTAATTATACATGAAATACGTAAACTATGATAGCTTCATATATCAAATGATTAAGATTACAAGAATGAAATAAAAATGAGATGATGAACTTGAACCAGTCCTAAGTTAGGCCTAAAACAATTTTGCAATGATCATGCCCAAACAAAAATCATGCATTTCCACTCTCCAGGTGGTTTGTAGTGAGCAGGTGCCGCTCGTGAAATGGACACAATCACACCCTAAAGATAGACCGCCGACAAGACTATGTGGGTTTGTGGGGCGTGCGAGTGATTCAACAAGAGAGAACAATTACATTCCGACAACGAAAATATTTTACCTGTTAATGGCACATGTAGAATCCAAGGAACATCAAGACATTCATTCTGAGAAAAGAGCCAAAAGGGCTTTGGTAACTTTTTTCAGCGATCCCATGGTGTCTCCCGCCTGCATTAGAAAGAAAAGGCCTTTGCAACAATTATTCATTTCTGCTGCAATGACTCAATAGAAAAGTAACATAATGGTTAACTGTTACCTTTGCATCTTTACGAACATTCGATGCTCTCTCAAGAGACGAGAAACTACATTATATGCAGACAAGATAAAAGAGATTTTTCAGGAAATGAATTGAACTGTATAAAAATGTAATAAATTATCATTTAAGTTGTCAGGTGTACAAAACTTCTGTTCATATTAATGACCATACCGGAAGTATAATATGCTCACAGTAAAATAAATTCTGGAATTGGAACCAGGAACGTAACTCTGTAAGCGAGAGTTTGGCAAGTGATGGAAATAACTTTTTACCAAGCTAAGCAGACTAATCATGAAGGGAAGAAGAATGGACCCAAAGAGACAGCTCACCGGAAAATAACTATTGTATTTTTTACAGTGTATGGAATGACATCACATAATGAAATCAGGAGAATGCCTTCCGTCTAACTCATCTAAGGAGATTATGCAACTGAATTTTCTGGCTCTACATCTTGGATGCCTTGAACCGTTCCTTGAGTGCCTTGTGGCCATTCAGTTTCCCCCTTTATCCCTTGGTTTATGTGTGATTTGCCCAGGCAGGTGAGCTCAAACACCCAGTCAGATCCCAGTCCTGGGCCACCATCATTAGCTGACTTCCTATGAATAGAAAATTTTGTCCAGGGTAGGAATTGTCCCATTTGAAAGCCTTCTATCTATCCCTATCACAGGAGGATACTCTCTGATGCCTAGATATAGAAGATGATTTCTGTTTTGACTGTTCTCCTGAAACTAAGCAGACTTCAATGATCTCGGTCTTTGGAGAATTCTCAATTCTATTCTCATCAGATTCTTTTCCATCTAGTAAAACATCCTGCCTTGGTTAACCCTGTTCATCAAGGGTTCACTCTTTTCATGGGAATAAGTTGAATCCTGATCCTTCGAGTGACTAGTAGTTTTCCAGCTTAAATCTTCTTCGAAAGCGTTATAGCTAGAGAAATAATTGGAATGCTTCAGCACTGAGTCATCATCAAAATCACTTATCTCGGGATTCACATTCTGGTGACTAGAAGGACCACAAGAAGGGCTATGATTATCATATCCTTCAACTTCCTTTTTACTAGCTTTCATTTGTTAGATTTCTTCGAGTACTGAGTAGATATCCCCTGATTTTGAGGGAGCATATGAAAATTCCTTCATATCCTGAATAATTACTGATTTTGCTGCCTGCCTGATTAGCTCAGCTTTTCTTAACTCCATTACATCCATGGTAGTGCTTCTTGAGCTCAGAAAGGTTTCCAGGTCAGTTACTAACTTGTGCATCTGACTATATTTATCTTCAAGAGCCAACTTTTTATCAATCAGCTTCATCTGCACACACTCTTCACGCCAAACCTCAGCCCTCTGCAGCATATTCCTTCCTTCCACCTCGTCACATAGCTTTATCAACTTGCTTTTTGATGCTTCAATTTCAATCTCATCTTCTCTTACTTTCTTAGCTAGTTCATTAAAAATTTCACCCAATAAGTTTCTGGCATTTTTTGCTTCATCAAAATCTTGCATCAACTTCTTCTCAGAAAATTTCGCCACAGCAAGCAACCTGATCAATTTAGAATTGACAAGCTCCAATACTTATTGCCTTTTCCTTTCCCTGCTTAATTCATGCTTCTAATAACTGCACCAATTTTATACTTTCTCTGTTCTTCAATGAGGCTTTTTCCTCTCTAAGCTTTCTGAAAAAGCATTGGACTTTCTTCTTAGAGGAATCTCGTTCGGCTTCAAGCTCATGAATGAACAATTGAGCCTCCAAAAGTTTTGCCATCAGACTATAAACAGTTTGAACTTGGTCATTTCAAAGTCTCATGTGGTTCCACAAGCGATCAGCCTGGAGTGATGTTTTTGAGCACCTAGGATCCCACTTTGTCATGCCCTCCATTGCAAACTTAAGATATGGAAAATAAGAAGTAAAGTAGAAAAAGTTTTAAGGAAAGGCAAAAAAAAGAATTGAATTGAATTATAAGATTGATGACTAGATAATAAAACTCCATGAATCAAACAATGGTAGGAATATCCAACCAACATTTTTTATTACAATTACCAAACAATTCTAATTAGGTGAGACATTTCTTGGAGGGCATAACAGAAAGGCAGTACATCTAAGCCATTGTTTATATGAAAGAGACAGATATACCTTGAACTGGATTTCATATTCTGCACCAGATACAGAGGATGGTACAGGAGTTTGTAACAGATCCTTTCTCGCTGCACCATAGTCCCTACCGGCACGATGATAAGGAAACATGGTAGTCAAATGCTTTACTCCAGGCTGCAGGAAAGAATAACCAGATGATTATAATTTCTTGATTACAGAATTCACAAGTTCAGAGAATTGCGTAAATGCTGAATCAAATAATATATCAATACATTAACCAACCAGATGAATTGAGTAAAGAATTGCAAATAGTTTTGCTTATCAGGCCAAGATTATCTTTTTCGGTCCTTAACATTCCAACCTTCTAATTGTTTGCATATGTTTTCTCGCGATTCGAACATTTTCTAGCGTTCTTTACGTTTCTCTATAAAAGTCAGTCGTTCATTTTAGGTACTTTCCCTCCATTCCCTTGGCACTCAAACATCCCAACTCATTTAGCATAGCGAAAAAGCAAACGCAAATACTTCACATCCTTAAAAAAATCGAAAAATCATCGAACAATTCCAATAAGAAAGAAGAAGCAGAACCTCGAAGCCGATCCGATCAGAGAGTCCACCATCCAAGGAAAAGCACAGTTGTCAAAGGCATGCGGCAAGCTTCCTCGCCGAAACCTCAGCCACTGCCCTCACTTTCCCATCTGACGCTGCTTCTAAGTCACCTCCAATTCTGGCGGAGATTGAGGAGGTACCGTGGTACTTGTTGAGATCGTTTAGCTTCCGATGGAAGGGAGAATTTTTCGCCAATCCCAGCTCCGATTCCCGATAAATAAAGTCCCTGCGGACGATCTCCGGCGGTGCAAAAGCCTATTGGCGCCACCTGAGAAGTTCATTAGGCTCAATAAAAATTATAACCTTATAAAATTAAGACAAAATGATTGTTGAGGAGTCGACAAGTGAATGGTCAATTATTGACTAAAATATTAATCATGTGATGATGTTTATATTTTACCAGTACATAATATATATATATATATATATATATATATATATACGGTGGGATCCAACGGACATGGAAGACACTACTTCGTTCGGGATCCAAGAGTTAGAAAAATAATGAAAAGAGGAATTAGAAGGGGTGTTATTGTAAGAAGAGATGCTCTTGAAACAAAAATTCCAATGTAATTGGATTTCTTCAAGGGATAAGAACACTAAATATTTTCATACTCAAACCATCTCTCGAAAGAAAAAGAATAAAATTAGTATGCTTAAAGGATGATGATAGTAAGTAGAGTACTGATGGAGATCAGCTTCGGATAATGACCTCCACTTTCTTTGAGAACCTTTATACAACTGAAGAGGGATCCATACCACAGTACCCTGTTAGAAGTTTCTTTCCGAAGTTAACAACTATTATGGTTGTTTAGTTGGATTTTGAGATAATGAACTATGAAATTTATGACGTTTTATTTAGTATGCACTCTTTGAAGGCCCTCAGAGTGGATGACCTTCGCGGCATTCTTTCATAACTAATGGGAGACTGCAAGCGAGTCGATTTGCACAATGGTCAAAGGTATCTTCCATGGTGAATAGTTACTTGATGAGATTAACAAGACCCTTATTACCCTCATCCTTAAAGTTGTTAGAACAGAAACTATTAAAGAATTTCGTCCGATCAACGTATTAACGGTGTTATATAAAATCGTTATTAAACTCATTGCCAACATACTCAAGCACTTAATGTCTTTTTTGGTTGGCCCTACCTAAACTAGCTTTGTAACTAGTAGGAATATCACAAATAACATTATTATTGCCCAAGAAGTAGTCCACTCTATGTGACATTTGCAGGAAAAAGACAAATGGATGACCATTAAGGTGGACTTAGAAAAAGCTTATGATCGCATCCGTTAGGAATATGTGGATGACATTTTGCTTGATGTTGGTCTCCCTCCTAACCTTATCAAAGTCATCATATAGTGTATCTCATCTAGTTCCATGCAATTGTTGTGGAACGACTGTCTCACCCAAGAGTTCCGGCCTACTAGAGGCATTCGACAAGGGGATCCACTTTCACCCGACATATTTGTGTTATGCATGGAATGACTATATCTTTGCATCAACACCTGAGTAAGAAATAGTACGTGGAAGCCGATCTGCCTTGGTAAGAAGGGTCTTGCCCTCTCACATCTATTTTTTACGGATGACCTGGTAATCCTTAGGAAACCCACTAAGGACCAGACTCAAGTTATAAAGAAAGTCTCAAAGGATTTCTATGCAAGCTCCGGCCACAAAGTAAGTGCGACCAAAACACTTACTTTCTTTTCTCGCAATGTTACCACGGGTGAGACTAATCGTATTAGTAAGATGTTTGGGTTTCGAGTCTCCAGTAATCTTGGTAAGTATTTGAGAGTTCTTTTATTACATGATAGAGTCAATAAATATACTTATTATTATATCTTTGACAAGATTAACTAAAAGCTATCTGGCTGGAATGCTAACTTCCTTTCCTTTGCAGGGTGTTTAACTTTGATCAAGTCCGTTTTCATAACTATCTCTACTTATGCTATGCAGACCACAACCTTGCCTAAATCCATATGTAATCATATTGAAGCGGTTGTTGGGAAGTTTATTTGGGATCAGGGGAGTGACAACCGAAAAATCAGCTTTATCAGTTAGACTGACATGTACATGCTTTATAACACTGGGGGGAGCAGACTTCGGTCTATCCACAAACAAAACTAGATTTTCTTGATGAAATTGGGTTTTGTTATGGTTACGAAACCCGATCTAATATGGATCTAGGTCCTCACCCACAAGTACAAATGATCTGGATTATCACAGAGTTACAAGTCGACGTGATCAACTCCTATCTTTTGCGAAAACTTAACCATCTTTGGTCGAACCTTCGAGTTGGCATCAAATGGTCCATTGGATCGGGGAACAATGTTAGGTTTTGGGAAGACTGTTGATTAGGGGACCTGGGGCCGCTTAAGCTTTTAGCTTTCACACTTATTGATGAACATGATCTCCATAAATATGTCAGGGACTATGTGGTATCGTCTAGCCAATAGAATTAGGAGGCCCTACACTGGGTGTTGCCGATAGGCACGTTGTTCCAGATGGCTGCAGTATCGACCCCTAGAGATGACAATATCCTAGATTCTTGCTTTTGAGGTATGACGAGCTCTGAGTGCTTCTCGGTTAGCTCGGCTTACACCCTCCTGGAGAGTGATCATTGACACCCAGATGATATGAATTAGAGAGACATTTGGCATTAGTCAGGTGCTCAACTGATGCGTACGTTCCTTTAGTTGGTTGCTAAGGGGAAGCTCTTGACGAATTGGGAGAGATACCGACGTCCAATGTAATCTACTGCTGATTGCAGTAAGTGTGACGACCCTATTGAAGATGTGGATCATGTCTTTCATAATTGTAGCGTAGCTAAGTTGCTGTGGTTGAAGATTATACATGCGGAAGCCCATTCAATGTTCTTCTGTAGTACTGTTGATGAGTGGTTTGTACTAAATCTAAAAAATAATTAGCTCTAGTGCAAGACATTTCAGGATTGGGGAGTGATATTTGGCCTTAATTGCTGGAGCTTATGAAACCATATAAATAAATTTATTTTCCAAAAGAGTGAGAGCAATATCGATGAGCTTACTAAGGATATGTCCTTCATGACTGATTATATTTGTATGGCTAATAATATGAATCTTTGTTTTCTTTCAAGTACGGTTCACAGGTCGAAAGAACTTGTAGCTTGACAGAAACCTCCCATGGGTTGGTGGAAGATGAACACTGATTGTACTTATCGTGCTGGTACTAATCTCGCCTGCTGTGGCAGACTTATTAGGGATGAGGATGGTGCTTGCCGGAAAAGCTTCAGCAAGAAGATTGGCAGATGCTTTGTTTTTCGGGCCGAGATTTGGGTGTTTTCGATGACCTTTAACTTGTTTGACATGCTAGATTCTGTAAAATTATCCTAGAAATAGATAGTGCTTTGGTGGTGCAGTTACTTAATAAAAAAGATTACGATATTGATACACATGTTGTTCTCGTTAGTGAGATCAAACACTTGTTATTGCATGATTGACAGGTCAAGATCCAACATATCTATCGCGAAAAAAATAAATGGACTGATTGGCCTCCACTCTCATGTTCAGGTGCCGAATAATTTCCAACAGTTTCTCACTGATAATATCATGGGTGTCTCTTGGTCCCGGATGTGCATGACGATTTCTTATTTTTTTTTTGACTTTGCCATCTCCTTGTACCAAAAAAATATATATATACATACATACATAGGGAACCGATACATATATATGTGCACGTGTGTGTGTGTGTGTGTGTATGTGTGTGTGTGAAACAAAATTGAATTCAAGTCAAGTGCCGTGAGCAAAATGTACACGAATTTTGTTTGATGTCCAAATATTACATAAGGTAAATTCTTGAAAAACCACAACATGCATATACATATATATATATATATATATTTCAAATATTGACCGTGTTACATAAGTTTGTTATTTTCAACATTCACATGCAATGCAAGCAATTTAATTGATTACCTCCGGGAGTTAATATATTCAACACGAAATTCAAATCAAGTGAATAAAACTTAATTATAATGATTAAAAATAAATAAATTACGAAATTAGTTTAATAAATTTGATATTTGTTACAATTTAATTATTAATGTTTTTTTTGTTGTAATTTATTTTTTTAATTTCTTTGAAATATCTAATTTTTTAATAAAAATTTTTAAATGATTATGTTATATTTAAAAAATAACTTAAAATTATAATTTGTGTTGTGTACCACGAAATAAGTCACAATCCAACTACCAAAATATAAATTTATATATGTGTGTGTGTATAGGTGTATATATATTATATTATTTTTAAGAAAAGAGAAAAACAATTTTAATTTTCTCAAAAAAAAAAAAGCACACGTGTGGTTTGAAGCTTATTTTGTTTTTGCTTGAAAGTAAATAAATAAAGCATAAACGGAGTCAAAGATTCCTCTCTTCTTTGTTCACACTCTCCATTATTTTCGTACCCAATAAGAATTAAATATTATTATTTATAAAAATGTATTTATATTATTTAATTAATAAGTAAATAAATTATTTACAGCAATAAAAATTAATAAGAATTAATTTATAATTTTATTTTACTTAAAGCTAATTGATTTCTAAGATTTCACCGAACCAGTATTTATTTAATCATATATATTATACGTACAATTAATAATTAATTTCAATTTTTTTAAGTGGTCAATTTTGAAATTTGGTCAACTAACGCCAACTCTTGAAAATTAATTTGTCTGCTTCTTTTTCCACGTACGACCCAGCTCGCCTCACATGGCGCCGAAAGATAACCATCACCAGCAACACGACACCAGAGCTATTTCCTGGAAGCCAAACAACACCTAATTTTCTCTCTATATAAATTAACCTGCGCTTCAAATCTTCTTTTCTCCATTTTTCATTCAACAGAGGAATCACTAGATTACAAGCAAGAGAAACCACAATGGGGAACTGTTTAAGACCACAGAATAGTCCGTCATCGTCTTCTTCTTCTCCGAATTCACGGGATGAATGGGAGTGCGTTGTGGATTCGACCCGTGATAGGAAATTCAAGACCCTCAGATCATCATTAATCACGGACGACGACGACGACGACGAGGTTAATACTGGGTTCGGATTCATGAGTATTGATACAGAGAAGGAGAAGCTACTGGCTTCTTCTTCTTCTTCGTCCTCGAGGGAGGTGAAGATAAAAATCACGAAGAAGGAGTTAGAGGAGTTGGTGAGCAGATTGAACAAGCAGGGTACGACTGGGTTGTCTCTGCAACAGATTCTGCTCGCTCGGTTGATGATCAATGGTGATAATCGCGATGATCATCCTTACAACCACCTCCACCACCATCGGCCGTGGAGGCCGGCCCTGCAGAGTATCCCTGAGGTGAACTGATAGACCGTCTTGTATATATACATGTATGTATGTATGTATGTATGTATATGTGTAACTGTATGCATGAGCGTATGTTTGTGTGTGCATATTCGTTCTTTTTTCCCTTGTGAATTAGACGAGAGGAGAGGTGTTCATACACAGAGATATACATGTTTCGTTTGTTTATATTCTTTTGACCATATGATCAACTCTAGATGGGCCTACAATCCAAGAGATCATAACACGGTAGCCCACGAACTACCTAAATGGGCTTCGTCAACTGAGGCCCACTCTCCCATTTTTTAAACTCACTCCTTTTTTTTTTCCCCCCTTTTACGAATTTATTTATTATATTATATTATATATATATATATAATATTAAATTAATTTAAAATAATAAATTATCAGAACTTTATTAAAATAACCCAAAAGTACCATGATTAAAAAGATAAATTACCCTAAATAATTACAGTGTTTAAATTCGTTGAATAAAACACTAAACTACGCGTGACATCATCAAGTGTTTTGGAGGGGTAAAAAACAGGAAGGGAGCAGTAAATTTTGTGGGCCCAAACAGAGGGTCCCACGTGGAGGGTTCGGATTGGGCCCGGCATATCCAACGCGTAGGGCCGTGTTTGGGCCTAGAAAGTTTTATTGGTTGCAGAAGTCTACAGAGGTCCACAAAATTAAGCGATTTAAACGACATGGCCAAACAATAAATGCCCGATCAACTAACACTACGAAAACATTCAAATCTGCCCCCCAACAACAAATCAGAGAACCAGAAAATTTTATTGTGTGTGTAAAAAATTAATTTTAATATTTAAATTTCATAATATTTTTCTAATTTTTAGAATTTTATGTAAAAATTTTCTAATTAATTAATCATAAAAATAAAATTATTTTGAAAAATTGATACGTGTAAATTTTTTTATTTTTTATTTTATATATTTTATTTAAATTTGTTGGGTTGACTTTATTACGTGTATATTAATTGTTGCCTTAAAATACTTCTAATTATATTTAATTACAAATATAATAATATAACTTAAATTTCAAGCAAGTATTAATTAAAGAAAAGATAGTATTAATTACTATTAATTTTAATAAATGTAATAAATTTAACTTAAATTTCAAGATTCTCCCAAAATTTAAGTGTATTAATTCCTTTAAAAAAATGTGTATAAAAATAAAATAATAGTACCCAGTAAAACAAGGCAAACTAATATGATTTTAGTTTTAGAACAAATAATTAAATTAGTATTAAAAATTTAATATATTCGATATAATTTAGCTATTAAATTTTTAATTTTTTTTAATAGACGAAAATAAATAATTCGATTATATTTGAATGTTTTTAAAATATTTAAATATAATATAAATTTTTTTATCAGATAATTAAAAGTAAACAAGATGTAATTAAATTATAATAAATTTTAAACTTAAGGTTAATTTAATAATTATTCTTAATTTCATAAGTAATGAACTCAAGTTTATAAATAAAAAGATAAAATTACAAACGCCAGCCACCTCCTTTGTTTCATTTACACGCGTGAAAACGGCACACGTGTCAACCCTTCTTGTGGGTACAGTGGGAGGGGGGAGGAGGATGAAGAAAGGCAATCAATGGCGTTAATGCACTGGCGCTGTTTATATCTCAGTTTTTATGTCTTGTGGGACCCTCTAGTTCTCTCTCCCTCTCTCTCTGTGTGATTAAGGACAGCTATTGCTGATACTGCTTTTAGTCCCCACCCTACTTTGAAGCTCATTCATGGCTTCTCTGTACTCTCTCTCTTCACTCTGCTTCACTTTCTTCTCTCGCGTGCTTTCCATTCTCTGAATCCTCCGCCAGCAGAAGCTTCTTACCTTTTCTTCTGGGTACTTTTAAATTTTTTGCTCTTCTTTCAATCTGAAGGGGAAGGCAAATGAATGAAGGGGAGGTTGTGAAGTTGAATCTCAGCATGATTCTTCGAGGGGTGCTGTTATTATTTTTTCTCTGTGAGTGTCTTTTTGATCTTTAATTGTTGCTTCTTTTCTGGGTTCTGCTTGTTTTGGCATGATCTGTGAGTTTTATCTGTTGGGTCGTTGTGAATTTGCTTTATTGTGTGAGAAAATGGAGCAGGTTTGTGAATTTTGTGTTGAGGGCAAGAGGGATTCTGGCTGTTTTTTTTTTTTTTTTTCCAGTTTTGTAAATGGGGATCTTCAATTTGAGGATTCATTTGCTGCGTAGAGCTTCTAATTGGTTTTTTATTGTATAGAGGATTTTGATTTTGATTTTGGGTTATACAATGTGGACTTTATATGTGCGTGATTAAATGTACGTTCTCCTGTATTATTCCCCTGACTTGTGCACCTTGGATTTGGTGTCTCAGACCTGAACTAAGTTCTTTTTTTGACAGTGATGTTGTTTTAGGTTTAGTAAAATTCCTCAACGCCCACTGAAATAGAAAGGTAGAGTGAAAATTGAAAGCCAGAAGTAATGGTTTACACCAGGTTAAGTTGTTGACTTTTTTGTGGACTTTAGTTTCTTGTTATAGTTTTCTTGGGTTAGATTTGTGTTGTTGAATTGTCATTTGTATTTCAAGCTACATCGGTATGTTTTTAATTCGAATTTAAATGATGTATGATTGCCTTATAGAGATAAGTTTGGGATGCCAGGCTTATAGAATCACATTATGAAGGGGAGCATGATTAAAGCATGTTCCTTTCACACCTGGTGAAGTATAAAAAGAAAGAAAAAAAAGAGGCTTTCATATGATTATGATAATTAGGCGTGCTTGTAGACAGTGGACTTATGTTTGTCACTGTTATAATTTTTTTCTGTATGGATGGGGGTCACATCTAGTGTAATGGCTGTTTGATGGATTAGGTGTACCATAATTTTCATTCCACTCATTAGTTTTTATATCTTATTTAGTCCGTTTGGTGAAGGGTTGAGATTATTACTTATGATGTTGGGTTTTTTAGTAGCAAACCATCAAATAGTAAAAAACTCAATGGCAGACCTGTAAGGGACTCTTTTTTTAAAAAAATAAAATAATGTTCAAAATCAAATCTTCCCCCATTTAGTTTGATGCCTAAAAGAATTTCATCAATTTGTTGTTATAGGATTTGAAACGTAACCCGGAAAGATAAAAGATAAAAAGTAATTAACTTTGCAATGAACATTGTACTTTAAAATTGGGGATATAGAAATTAAGCTGCCAATTCCTTAGTATTATCTTCTCCAATTTATAGTTCTGAGAGCTCTTCACAAACCTGAGTTCTTGCCTTTGGTGAATTGATTGGTTTCCGTAGGTTGGTTAATTTAGTTGAGCATTGTAATATAATCTAATTTATCCATGCTTTTGTCTTAGGTTTTTGTGGATCTCTTTCCAGCCCAGTAGATCACTTTGAAGATTCTGCCTTAAGAGACAAAAGGGCTGATGCTCTTTTGCCTGAGATATCTCCAACTTTGGCTCCTCAGCCCTTTCTTCCTTTTCTTGCACCTACTCCCTTGTCACCTTTTACAAATAGTACTATCCCAAAATTATCAGGTTTGGTTTGCCTGGTTTGTTGACATTAAATTTTCTCAACTGTTTGCATCGAGATGTGCTTTTATAGTTGTTTTTGTGCTTTCTTCTTACCTGCAGGGCGCTGTATGTTAAACTTCACAGCTGCTCAAAGTTTGATGAGCACAACTTCAATAGATTGTTCGGCTTTCTTTGCCCCGTTGCTGGCTAATGTAATATGTTGTCCTCAGCTAGAGGCCACTCTTGTTATTCTTATGGGTATATCCAGTAAAGAAACTGGCGTGCTTTCTTTGAATGGAACTCATGCCAAGCATTGCCTTTCAGATGTAGAGCAAATTTTGGTGGGACAAGGTGCTAGTGACAATCTTAAGGAGATTTGTTCGATTCATCCATTGAACCTCACTGAAGCATCTTGCCCAGTCAAAGATGTTAGTGAATTTGAGAGCACTGTAGATTCTTCTAAGCTTCTTTCAGCCTGTGAAAAGATTGATCCTGTGAATGAATGTTGTGATCAAATTTGTCAAGGTGCTATACTAGATGCTGCTACAAAGATTGCATTGAAAGTTTCTGATCCATTGATCCTGGATGGGTCCCATTTGTTATCTGATCACTCAACTAGGATTGATGATTGTAAAAACATTGTCTTCCGGTGGCTGGCAAGTAAGCTAGATCCTTCTCATGCAAAGGAAGTTCTCAGAGGACTAACAAATTGTAATGTTAATAAAGGTGAGTTTTGCCATACAATAATGAATGCAAAGTTCAACTTCAGTCTCGTACCATTGTCATCTGTGAATTACATGGTCCCATATGCTTGATTTTTGAAGAGAGTTTGCAGATAACCAATTAAATGTCCCATCAGAAAAATCTTTTGGGAATCTTAACATTGAGGCTTCAGTTATTTATAGGTGCTTATATTTCAGATAACATAAATATATAAATTTGGATTCTAGTCATTGCTGTCCTATCTCACGTGTTTTATCCATCAGATTTCTATATAGCAGATTGGCTTTGGATTTTGTTGCACACAGCTCATTTTTTAAATTCTTGTGCAGCAGTCCCTTTATTAAATGATTTTTTTTTCCATTTCTTTGTCCTTCAACTCATTATTCTTATCTTTAGGGTTGTAATTTCCTTTGTAAACTCTTTGATAACTAATTTTTGTCATTTTACCAAGTGACAGCAATTCTTTCGGCTGAGCTTATTGGTTTAATTTTTCAAATGCTTTTTACATGTGTCATTCTTTTTCAGTTTGCCCTTTGGTTTTACCCAACATGAGGCATGTTGCAAATAGCTGCGGGAACGGGGTGAGTAATCAGACAGCTTGCTGTAATGCTATGGGAAGCTATGTGGCTCACTTGCAAAAGCAGACTCTAATTACCAATTTGCAAGCTTTGGACTGTGCTACATCTCTAGGACTGAAGCTACAGAAATCAAATATCACTAAAAATATTTATAGCCTTTGTCATATAAGCCTCAAGGATTTCTCTCTTCAAGGTTATTTTGTTTTGTTTTTTTTTTTTTTCTATCTTGTAATTTACAGAGTTCTTTTTCTTCCTCCCCCTAACTGGCCTTTCATCCTTCTTCCTCATTCCCCCAAGAAAAAGAGCATCATATATGTTTAAGATTGTTACTAACCTTTTTTTCTTTGTTTTCATTTCTATTCTGGTGCAATATCTGGCATGAACAATTCAAATGCATCAGTTGGTAATCAAGGTAAGATTGGCTGTTTGTGGCTATAGTTCCTCTCTTTAATTTTTTTTATGTCTACCTAGCTAAGTTGTTTGTGTTTCAAAAAAGCTTAAGTTGTTTGCATTTCCTACTAGGAGTCGCCGTTGTGTAAATTTTTTTTCATTGTTCTCTACTCTACAGATGGCCAAACTTAGTCCTCCTAGGGCAGATTATTGGAGCTCAGAACTTTTCCTGTTCTCTTTATCTTCTTTTGGTTGTTGGATGGTGTTTTGTTTTGTCTGTGGGGGGGTGGTGGGGACGGGGAGTTGTTTATGGTGAATTAGAACTATAAGATACAACTAATAGCAGTGTACCATGAATATACGTTTATGGGGCAGCTAAAAAATTATAGGGTCACGTCTAACTTATTTGATTCTTTTACACAGTATCAGGATGCCTTCTGCCAAGCCTGCCTTCAGATGCAACATTTGATAGAGTCTCAGGGGTTAGCTTCATATGCGATCTGAATGACAACATTCCAGCTCCATGGCCCTCGGCATCACAATTACCAGCTTCATCATGCAACAAAAGTGTGTCAAACTCGTAACTGTGAATTCATTAAGTGCCCATTGTCCACCATTTGAAATCCCTTTCTCACATTATTAGAAGACTATATTTCTTCTGTCTTATTTTCTTGTTGATGTTTTTATACTTTTGTTATTGGAATGCAGCTGTCAGAATTCCGGCCCTTCCTGCAGCAGCATCCGGTCAACATGGTAAGTAAATAATTCTACTTTGTTACCGTGCTACTATTTTCTGCTTTAATATAAAAAAGAATACATGGAGCAAGATGGTCAAACTGGTGAGGATCTCTGACAGCTGAGAGTATATCCCTTTAGTGGATGTTTTTGTAAGAGGATTAAACATGAAAGCCAGAGAAAGAACCAATTAATACAAGCAAAGACAGTTTAACTGCTTTCTGTTAACTGCCTTATATTAGACGACAACAGTTAATAGATATTCAAATCATATAAACTAACTTAGCGGGTGACTTAGAAACTACAAAAAAACAAAATTTTCTTTTGACAACAGAGAACACGGAAACAGAGCACGACATAACATAGAAGATAGCCACATAAAACAAAAAAGCTACTTAGTTTCTTCTTTTTGTCTTCTTCTTCCTCTGCTGATACACCTGATTAAAAGCACTATTTTCATAACTTGAACAGCCTGACCAGTGCTTAGAACAGAAAATATATCCAAATTTTGTTTTAATTATGGTATAGGTTATCTCCACTCACAATAGCTCACAATGCAGAAATTTAAGTAAACACTAAAATATCTGCTAAATTTTCCTGTCAGTAAACCCATAATCAGATCCTAGCAAAAGGGACCCTAATATGTTATGGGCCACAATTGCCCATCATAATGGCACTGATAAGGCATCAAAACCAATTTGATGAAGTTTGGAAATATGCATAAGTTTTTTTGCTGTGGACTGGAGAACCAAACTGTAGATTGTACTAATTAAACCCATGCCCTAAAAGATACAGTCCCAATTTGAGAAACCAAACTTAAGTATTTCCTTGAAGCTAAACTCATGGAAAGAAGCCAGTCCCACTATTTCATCTGCTCCTGTATTTTGAGGGGGGAAGAAGTGCTCCAGCAGTTGAACCAAACTATTACTCACCTGATGATCAAACCTGGGAAACTCCAGTTCAGTATATTTGGAAGAGAGGGGCCCCCTTCTGCAGTGCCATGAGCCTGCTTGTCCCGGTTGTGGGATGACATCCGCAGAGGTCAACACTATCTCCAGCCCCTATCTCCAGCCCCTATTGGTTGGCAACTACATGCTATTTTGCTTCAATTGCTGCACGACCATTTTCATGTTCTAACATGCTTTGATCCCTCCTTGTGTGATCACAGGCTTGGTTTTGTTGATATGGTTTTAAGGTCTTGAATTGCTGGAGATTAGAAGTCACGCGTAACTTCTGGCTTTTATATCAATGTGTTAGAGGTTTCCTTAGTTGGATCGAACTGTAGGTTTATCGACTAGAAAAATCTAGCACATGATTTGAGTGTTTACTTGAATTTCTACCTTTGATGCAAAAGCTGGTAAGGACCCGTTTAGAGGAAACTCGTTAATCTCGAGTTTAGAAGGAAACTCCATTTTTCTTTAGACAGATTTTGGATACATGTGCTTATTAGCATACAACTTGTTAGGTCAGGATAAGAACACAAAACTAACCCCTAAGGAATAGGTGACTCCCAATTAACCTAAAAAAAAACCAATTCCCTCATCTTGGGAGAAAGAAACTGCAACAGATGAGGAAACAAACTGAAAATAAACTGTCTACACCTGTGCAAGAGATTGATTAATCTTTCTTTCTCTTGCTTTCGTGTGTAAAACTCTTATAAACCCACCCATCAGAGGGAGAGATACTCCCAGCTGCTGAGTATTGGCACTAGTTTGACCATGTTGGTCCATAACAAAGTAAGAACCTAACAATTCGAAAGGAGATCTTTTTGAAAGATTAATCTATTGGTCTTCCAAAATAGACTCTGAATATTGAATTACTTTATATATTTGGAACCCTCTTTTATATACATTGGGAATGGTATATGGAATCAACTGGGAATATAATGGATTCAAGAAAGTAGTTTGAAGATTCAGCATAGAAAATAAACTACGAAGATGTGAGGAACAATATGTTTTTACTGTTAGTTTAAGTCATGGTGAATCTTAATGATGATTTTCTATTTGAGATAACATTTCTATTTGGACCCATTAATTACCAGTTCATAATGTATCCATGATCTCATTAATTGTAATTGGCATAGTAAACCTTTCATTGTTTCAGAATAATACTCCAATTACAATATATGTACTTTTCTAGTGGAAATATCCATTCCACCATTGATATCCAAGGTCTGTTTGCAGGTCTTTACAGTGAGGATTCGAAATTAATTGTCCTCCTCGCGTCCTCGGTTGTTCTCATGATGCTCTTGTAGCTGTAAGCAAATGCTGGTTATGTACATTGAGAAAATTTTACCAGCACCATACAATTTTATCTATCATTGGAGATTTGAGGATTTTTGGACAACGATCGTGGAAAAATTCCTTTGTTACCATCAAGGCATGATAATTATGAAATCAAAAAGTATATTTGCGAGAGAGACTCCAGAACTGAGAGATTTGAAGTTTGTGTTACTAATGATATAGTAATTCATGATTCTTGCTTGCTTGTGTAATAAAAATCTACTTGTAAAAAGTATTTAAGAAGATGATGTTGGATTAAGAAGCTAATATCCTGTTTATCTACACCTTGTAAATGTGGGTTGCAGCCTCCAGATGTATTACAAGCTTACTTTCTCCTCTATATTTCGATAATATATATGACTAAAGTATGCTTCTGCCTTCACTTTTGTACTCGTATCTCGAGTGTATGATTTTTC